ACAGCCAAGGCTACACAGAGAAACTCTGTCTCGAAAAACCAATTAAAAAAACAAAAACAAAAAAACGTTCCTCTTTCACTTCTGCTTTGAGGTGAGACGCATCCTGTGCGTCAAGCCACGTGTCGAGCTACGCAGGAGTATCCCTGTCCTTTCAGTAGCCCCCACCCACAGCAGTCTGCACGGTACCCAAGAATAGAAGGGACTGAAGACATGGCTGTGACCACAGTACAACAGGCCCAGGCCCCAGGCCCTGTCCTTCCCAGGAGGGCTGCTAGCCATGAAAGCTTCCCCAGGGTTTTCCCTTCTCTTTCGCCTGTCTGTCATCCTCTCTAGGGAGGAGGATCCTGGGACTGAAGATTGCTCTTTTCTGTAATGTGTGTGCTCAGTATCCCCAGGAAATTTCATTTGGTGGAGACTTAGTTTCTCCTCTGAGAGGAAGGGTCCTATCACCCACCTGCCTCCCTAGTGTCTTCTGGTTCTAACAAGACTCAGGCATGCACTTATCTGTGGCTCAATACACAGGCAGGTTTTTTTTTTTTTTTTTTTTTTTTTTTTCCTACTGTCCTTTCCCAAGCTTCAGACTGGTTGGTGGCATTTGAGGTTCTTTGTGCCCTTGCCAGGCACATTCAAAATGGAGCATCTGGCTTCCAAGCAGGGCATATGCACAACACCTCCTTAAAATTTCTGGGCTTGAGCAGGGGGTGTAACTCAGTGGTAGGGTGCTTGCTTAACCTTTGTGAGGCCCTGGGTTCAAACCTCAACACAAATCAAATCAAATTCCCAAGCACTCTGCACCACTTAGACCGCTCTACAGTACTAACTGCAAGGATCCTCACTCTGACCCTCTGAAGGAAGCATGAGAGACGTCATTCCAGCCCTAGACTCAATCCATCCCATGGTGAAGACTGTGCTCAGGGCCACAGAGAGAGCTGGCAGGACTATTAGGGGAGAACAACAGTGACTTGAGCAGGGTGTGGTGTGGCATGCCAGGAATTCCAGCACTCTAGATGCAGAGAGAAGAAGATTATGGCTTTGAGGCTAGCCTGGGCCATAGAAGGACCCTGATTCAATCAAAAAGTAATAATAACGGGCTCAATTCTCAGAGCCCTTGTCTCCTAGGTTCTCATACCAAGTCTCCCCGAGCGATACAGTGAAGATTTGATTATTCCCATTTTGTCACCATGGAAACAGATGCAGATCAGATGGATGGGGTGTGGGTAGGGAGGGCTGGCAAAGGATCACACAACGAGGAAACAAGACACTGAAGCTGGGAGCAGGGTTTCTGGCTGCCTAAAGAGAAAGGGGAAGGTCAGGAGGGAAGATGAGTCCCCTGCCTGTCCTGGTTACTGCCCCAGAGTCACTGGCCGCAATTGTTCACTTGGGATCGCATTTGAAGCTGAGAAATGAGTGAAGCCTGGTGTAACCCTAGGGACAGGTTGGCTCAAGGTTCCCAGACAATGGTCCATTTGTCGTTCTGAGTTGCACTAACCCCACTTCTGGAAGTCAATCATTGAAAGTGCAGGCTGGGCGGGGCAGGCTATCAATCCCCCCACATACCTTTTCTCTGATTTCAGTTTTTAGTTCATTCATCATTGCAAGTATTTTAGCAATCTAGTTTCCTGCCCCTTCCCCCTTAGGAAGCTTCTCATAGGAAACTCTTACATTCCCTAATGTCTATTTCTCATTTTTCCCACATGGAATCAAGTCCCCTCCTGTTCCTGTGTCACTTTACTCAGTGCAGACAGACCTCTTCTAGAGTGAGCTGCTGTGTCTCTGTACTCCTTCAGCTTCCTGGTGTTGGCTCAATAAGTGAGTCCAGCCAGTTGTAAAAGAGCTCCAAATTTGTGAAGTGAACTTCCAGTAAAGGATACAAGGATGTGCAAAATGTGTTCTTTTCCTCCAGTAGCTTAAGTGTCAAGGAGAAGGAATGTGCAAGAAACACCTGAGAACCAGGTCTTGGCATGTGAGCAATGAACACCACCAAGAGTCTACACTGGGACTAAAACCTCACCCCACTGTGCCCAGCTCACTTATAGTTTGCCCATAGCAGGACCTTTGTTGCTACTTCATTACTCTTGTCTGTACTTGGGGACTGAGGACACACAGATTGGGAAGGAACAGGACATTTTGCCTTGAGAAGAGACTGCCTTTTTTGAGACAGGATGCCATTTTACACTTCTAGGCTACAGGTAGGGCAACAGCGTAGAACAGAAACCGATAGGGTTGGGCAAATATCAAAGGTTTTAGGAAATTTTTCTCTCAGGACTAAATTGTTTAAAACTAAATTGTTTTTTTCTCCTTGGAGACATTTGAAGACTAATGGATGGAAGGAACTGAGCTTGCAGCAACTTGGTATAATTCAAAAAGCGCAGAGCTAAGACTGGAGGTTCCAGGGGCAACTGTGGCAGGCTCCCAGGGAGCCAAAGGTTGAGTGTTAGCTCTTCAGACAGCATAGCTAGCGGGGAAGGGAAGGGAAGGGAAAGGAGAGAGCTGCAGTCTCAAGGTCTCCAGTTTCTTCCAGCCAGGTGAGATCACAGGAGAATCCCAAGGCTCAGAGGAAAAAGGGGTTGCAAGGAATCTCTTAGACCCTCTCCATGTAGTTCTTGTAGTTTGAAATCTTGTTGGAGGAAACATGGACCGATTCACCGGAAACAGATGTTTTTGCTGCCACCAGATGGAGGTCAAATCTGAAGGCTGTAGGATCTGGCTTTTGGCACAGGCCCTTTGACAAGCAAAAGATACTCTGGGCCAGGTTTAGGGCATGTGTGTGGCTATAGTTTGAGGGCCAGGAGCCGCCTGAAGTTCATGCGGGCTGAACCCAGCAGCTGCAGGCCCGGGAGGGAAATAGGCAAAGTCTCTGTCTACTGTGTCCCAATTCTGTGTGGGTAGCTATGTCCCTGTTGCAGGGTGCCCGCGTGCCTGCAGGGCTCCACCACCTGTGGAGGGACTCCAGGCTGATGCCAGGACAGCAGCAGGTGGCATGCAGCCAACCCTGCAGTTCAAGGCGAAAGGGTTGGCATAGTGCAGACCAGGTCATGCTATCCCACAGGGCACCCCAGCCCAGGTTCCCTTCAGCTGTGTGCTCTGGCCTCCACCTCCAGAGGTCTTTCCCCTCTTCTCAGGCGTGTGTCAAGTATGATGAGCCTAGCACACAGCAAGCACTCAGGAAGTGGTTGACTGAAGACCTGTAAACTGGCTTGTATTCTTCTCTCCTATTTTCTATCTAATTAGCAAACTATCACAGATTTCAATATATTTAATTTTTTTTAATTAAATTCATTTGTGCCTGTACATACATCTGTGGCCCCATTAGTACCGTAACATCTGTGTGGAAGTCAGAGGACTTTCTGGGGTTGATGCTTTCCATCATGTGGCTCTGGGGAACTGAACTTAAGTTGTTAATGGCAAGCACCATTATCGACTGAGCTAGCTTGCTGGCCCCTCATTCTTTTAATGCTGAGTTTGTTTTCAAATATGTATCAGAGCTGATGATGGAATCCAGAGACTTATGTATAGTTGGCACGTATTCTTTCTCTGTACTGGAACTTGTTTGTAGACCAGGCTGGCCTCGAACTCAGAGCCATCCATTAGTCTCTGCCTCCTTAGTGCTGGGATTAAAGTCATATGCCCCCATACCTGGTTTAGGGTTAAGTTTCTGATGCATGAAATCTTAGTGGAAACACACTCCAGACCGTAGCTCCCAAGGCAAAGCTCTGCAGTTGGGCACCAGAAATGGAGGAAGGTAGCAAAGTCTCAGACAGGTTGGCTGTCTAACTGGACGCTGATGGAGGGGAGCAAGCACTGCATCAGGACCTGGAACGCTAGAGGCTGCAGGAGCACCACAGGGCGCTCAGGCTGACGGGCAGGTGACGCAGTGTTCTAATTCACCAGGTGCTCTCCCGCCAGATCATTCTCTGGGTCTTCCAAGTTATCTCTGGACTATGACACAGACTGTGTGTGTGTGAGGAGGCAACTGGCGGTCTCACATGGTGGATACACGAGATCACATGGTCTGGCCAGGCCAGCAGCTGCTGTGATCAGCATTGTCACAGAGGCGGTTGGTGTGAAGTCCGGGGAGATGCCTACCTGGAAGGGTGAGAACTTGATTTACTGTCTTCTCAGTAGCTCTTTCAAACAAAACTGTCTTTTCCCTTGTGCATGTGTTTACTTGTTTGGGACAGTGTTTTGCTGTGTATTTTGGAGTTGCCACAAACTCATAGGAACCTTCCTCCATTCTCCTCAGTCTCTCAAGTGCTGGGATTACAGGTATACTCCATGAAGTCCAGCTATACCCGCCTCAGTTCTCCAAGTACTCTGGGACAGCTCCCACAGACAAGACTGGTATTGAGGAGCAATATTCTCAGGAAGCAAAAGTGAAGAAAAAAAGTGGAGATTTTTTAGGCTTGCTCCATGACAGGCATGACTCCCCACACTTTCCCACATTTACAGCCTGCTCTCTCAGAAGCTTCACATGCAGGAGCTGGGGAAGTGGCTCAGCCCTAAGAGCAGCTGTTGCTCTTAGAGGACCCAGGTTCAGTTCCCAGCACCCACATGGCGGCTCAAACCACCCATACTCTAGTTCTAGGGAATCTGATGATCTCTTTTGATCTTTGAGGGCACCACGCACACATGACCAACATACAGGCAAAACACACATACACAAAAAGTAAATCTAAAATAAAAAAAATTAAAAAAAAAAAAAAAGCCTTTACAATACAGGAATAATGGCTGTGACTGGACATTCCAGATAAGATCAGCTTGGAACACTATGTGTGGAAGACTTTTGAGCTGGTTAAGAGCCTGGATCTAGGGTTCACATAACTTGCAATGTGGCTTGAAAACAGCCCACCAGGCAAGACAGTGTTTTGTTTTGCTTTTGTAGTGTTGTGAGTTGAGTCCAGCACATGTCTACCTTGTCAGCTCTGAGCAACATCTCCAGCACGGCACCCAAGGTTTCTGGAGGCCACGCAGTCAAGAGAATTCTAAGTGACAAGTATAAATAGAGTGGAGTTGCCTGTTTTAAGATTTATTTTTATTTTGTGTGGTTTTGCTTGCTTGCATGTACAGTGTATGCATGTATGGAACTCCAGTTATGGATGGCTGTGAGTGGCCACGTGGGTGCTGGGTACAGAACTCAGGTCCTCCATAAGGTCAGTTAGGTGCTCTCAGCCGAGTCATCTCTCCAGCCCCATTTGAATTTCTCAGACAGTCTCACTGCACAGGCAGCTTTGCTCAGAACATTCTATGGAGGCTGGCCTAGCCTGGAACTCCATGATCTTCTTGCCGCAGTCTCTGGAACACTGTTATTACAGGCATGAACTGCTGTGCCCTGCTTAGAGAAGTTTTTAAAAACAAACAACAACAACAACAACAACAAAAACTACTCAGCTTCCCAGCATAGAGCACTGTAGGCTGGGATATGAAAGAAAGACAAGGAGGGCTGGACCTGGAGTCACCACAGGGTCCAAGAGAGCTGAAGGATCCGAAAGCTGGTAAGAAGGCAAGTCAACAGTGTGTGTGATTAAGTCTAGTGCACGAGGAAGCAGCAGCCAGTCCTCCCCTTGGTCTTTGGTCTCTGCCTTCCCTGAGCAGGCTACAGCCAAAGGCTTTCCTCTGACATATCAGAATGACATGAAGTCTGCTCTCCAGAGCTGGTGCCCCACTCTGCAAGGCATCGTTCTGACAGCATAGCCTAGAACTTCCTACTGGCTGTACTGTCTGCTTTGTAGTCCTGTCTACAAGGATCCCTGCTCCTGCCCAAGGACTGTTAAAGTGAAACCTATCAAGTCAACTCACAGCCAGACTCAAGACCAGTATGTCCTGAAGCCCTCATGCCACCTGAGGTGACCTCACTGGCCTGGTGTCCAGCCAGGGTAGGACTGGTGCTAGAAACAAGGCTGGGAACAGACATTGTGTGTCGGGCTTTATTTGCTCCTGCTATGTACACATATGTACAGCTGGTGCGAGCCAATGGTACACTATGTCACAGAATTATCTTACATACACACATTCCTGGGCAGGAAGCGGGAGGTTCTGTTCTGAATATCCCACTGCTGGTGAAGGAAAAGGACACTAATGGAAGCGGCCTACCCCGTTCCCAGACACTGACCCCTCCCACAGACAATCTGTGCCCCCCCGCCATGGGCACGGCACATGATGGTGAGATCTGGGTGGTGCTGGTGGCAGCAGCTGCTTTCTCCTCATACTCACTGATGGCGGCAACCTGACACCTGCGGCCCAGAGCCCAACTGGAAGGCCAGCCCCAGCAATCCACAACCTCTCTGAAGTCGAGCAGCGTGGCTTCATGGGGCACTGGCATGCATCTTCTCCAGGCAGTTTGTCCAGAACGCCACCAGTCGGTTGTCACGGTTGATGCAGAAATCCGTGAAGTCCTTCAGCAGCCGGTCAGCAAACTTCTCATCCCCTGTGGCACTAGAACGCCATGTCTTGGTCAGCATGGTGTTGTAGGCCCAGTTGTAGCCAACCCGCTCCTCACAGAACATGTTTTGGTTGGTGGAGCTGGTGGAGTTCCGCCGCCGCCGCTGCTGCCCAGAAAACTTGCGTTTGGAGTATGGCAGCTGAAGAAACACTGTTCCTGAAGGGAGAGAGAAGGCCTGAGTGGAGGACACTGGTGAATACCTGCAGCTGCCTCTGGTGGTCCCGACACTGCAGGCTCAGGCAAGGCCTCAGTGGCGCGGACTTGTGCACCCACCAAAATTTTTGCCCATGGTTCCTCACCTGTAACATGAATATACTGTGGCTTGTTCTCAGCAGGGAAGTTAAAAGCAGAGGCAGAATATTTGTCTTGCACAAATCCAAACCTATAGTAAGGACAGAAACACACACACACGGTCTCATTGGCTACAGAAACAGGGAGCAGTGTGTAGCTAAACTGACTAGCCAGGATGCTGGAATATGGAAAGGCCTTCTGTGTCAAACGTGTAGGCTATTTGTCCTCAGCACTTCTCAACATCTGCTTTTTAAATGAGGCTCCCAGCATTCCTGCTCATGGACTATGCCACTGCAGTGACTGAAGCACTCTATCTGGGCTCCATCCCCACTTAGCACCTTCTTTTCCACATGCCCTCCCCCCCACAGGCCCCGCTGTTAACCTTCATTCCGCCTCTTGCAGCATCTGTCCTGGCAGGCTGCTCACCAACCCACATCTGACCAACCCTTGTCTTATATTTTCTTAGCCACATCTATCTCCAGTGTTGTCATGCGCACACTGGGAAGGCTCTCAATAAAGGCCTTCACTGAAATGGAATAAGCTATCTTAACTAAAACTCCTTCTGCAATGGTGAGGAACAGTAATCCAAGGCTCATTGCTGGGCTGTGCTCTAGAAATGGGAAATGAGAAGAAACCATCTCTCATCTGTGACTTGTCCTGTTCTACTTCTTATCTATAGCTTGTTCTATTCCTGGTTTTTCTATTTCCATAAAGCACATTTATTCTGGCCCCACCTGCTAAGAGCTGTAAAGGACGCGCTAACAGATGTGCCCAGATTCTGCCCTCTGCGTCTGAGGGGTTTATGTAACGAAGGCGGTGATGTGGGAGGTAAAATGTGTCTTCTTTCCTGGACTGCGCTTGCTGGGGCAGTGCTGTGCTGTAGCCTCCAAGCTGCCAGCTCTATGCCAGCACCCCTACATGCACATCAAGTATGCACGCTCAGTGGACAGCATCTAAAGGACCCTTCTGGATTTCCTCCAGTTTCCAACCAAGCCAACTGATTTATTTAGCATGATCAGTTGGACAAGAGGCTTCTTAACTAATTTTTTTCTTAGGTCACCAGGAAAGACCCCTATTATTTATTTATTTATTTATTCATTCATTCATTCATTCATTCATTTATTTGATATTTGCTTCTAAGGCAGGATCTTATATATCCCAGACTGGCCTCAAATTCATAATTTGGCTGAGGATAAGCTTCAACTACTGATCTTCGCGCCTCTGCCTCTTGAGTGCTAATTACAGCTGTGCACCTCTGTGCTGTTTCATGCAGTGCTTGGTGCGGACTAGATGAGCATTCTACCAACTGATCCACATACACAGCCTAAGACCTTTATTTATTTTTATTTATTTAAAATTTTTTTGTTATGTGTATGTGTGTGCTTGCTTGTCTGTAAGTGCACATGAGTAACAGAGCCTTTGGAGGCCAGAAGAGGATGTCGGATCCAGTGTGCGTGGTGGAAACCAAATCTGAGTCCTCTACAAGGAGCAGCAATCACTCTCAGTTGGTGAGCCATTTCTCCAGTTCCAATATGTTTATTTTTTAAAACCACAATTTAGCCAGGCATGGTGGTTCATGCCTTTAGCCCCAGCACTTAGAAGGCAGACAGGTAGATCTCAAGGCCAGCATGGTTTACAAAATGAGTTCCAGGCCAGCCAGGGCTACATAGTGAGATCCTTTCTTCCATAAGCCCCAAACAACCAACCAAAAGCAAACTAAATCAAACAAACCTCAAACCCCCTTAAAAACAAAAACAAAAAAAAAAAACACCTCATTTCAGCCTCATGGTCCCTGGGTGCTTCATTTTCCTCGTGGGGCAGACCAGGATTGCAGTGAAGGTGATAGGTACCCACCCCAGAGAGATGTTGGACTAACCCCACTCCAATTACTCAGAGTAAGCAGAAGGAGGAGCTAGGAGTCACCGTAGAGGGAACAGTGGAGGGAATGGGAGCTTTTCTAGCTTTTTCTACCCTTTGGGTAGGCTGTCATTTCTTCAGTCACATCTCCATTTAGAATTCCACTCCATGCAAAACCCTAGGTAGCACCAGGATGCAGTTCAGTGGCTTGCCCAGCACACACAAGGCTCTGGGGCCAATCCCCAGTGCTGCACACAGAAGCCATGAGCAGAACACTAACTCTGGAAAAGATACTTTGCTGGCACTGCTATAGTTATGAAGCAGCAGTGAAGTAATGTTGTGGCTCGGGGTCCCTACAACATGAGGAACTGTAGGAAAGGGTCACAGCATTAGGAAGGTTAAGAACTGCTGCTCTAGAAAGATGGATCCTTCTCTTTGGAGACAAGAATGAACTGTATTTCACTTTAATAACTGCTATTGGAGAAAAATATTGATTTGGTTACTGTTTCTTCTGGCTAATGGACAAACCTGTGCGCAATGGCTTCCTGGAAAAGGTGCATTCGATCCCAGTATGTTTCTGGTTCAAAGCCTGAAAGGAATAAGGAATAAATGCTGAGCTGTGATCACAAGGTTTGTAAACTCACACTGTTCTCTTCATTGCACTTGGCAATTCTTGTCTCTTGTATCTGAACTCTAGTCCCCACCCAGTTACAGAAAGGACTGCTGTAACCCATAGTCCCTTCCCCACGTTTCTCCAAGTCTAAAAAGGCAGAGTCCTCGGAAGCCAACGTGAGCACCAGAATTTAATGAGGCTTATGCTAATGTCTGAATTCTCAAGCTAAAAAGAGTCCAGTCATTTTTTGTTTATTATTTGTTTCCGAGGCAGGGTCTCACATAGCCCAGGCTGGCCTCAAATTCTATGTAGCCAGAGATGACTTTGAACTCCTGATCACCCTACCTCTACTTATGGGTGTGTACCCAGAGAGCTGGTTTGAAAGTAATATTAAAACACAAACCTAAAGTGTGTATGAGGGTGCTTGCTTGCTTTTTTTCTTCCTTTTTTCTTTCTTTTCTTTTTTTTTTTTTTTTTTTTTTTGTTTTTGAGTCAGGGTTTTTCTGTATAACAGCCTTGATTGTCCTGGACTAACTCTGTAGATCAGGCTGGCCTCGAACTCACAGAGATCCATCTGTGCTAGGATTAAAGGTGTGTGCCACCAGTGCCTGGCACCCACCCATTTCTAACATCACTAACCTTCCATCTCTCTGTAAAGAAAGACAATATTACAAGTTCCATTTTAGGGGTAAAAAAATTGAAACAAATAAATTTAAAAGTAATTCTTGAGAAGTCATCAGCTTTGGGTGGGGATGGCAAGCAGAGCAGAATTTGCTCCTCTGCTTGAATGGCTCCAGCCTCTGTCTTCCACTGGGCAGCTGCTGAGGACCAAACACAAAGGAGGTAGGAAAGCTGAGCACTGTCACATAGTAACAGGAAGCAGAGCTGGACTGCCCTCTGGATGGAGCTTTTGAGGGTCCTGACAGCAACAGTATAGACAACCCAAAGTCCAGGGATGCAGTGGCTTTGTTACTTTGTCCATAATTAACACTTTCTTTAAAACAGATTGGAAACACAGCCCACACCCACATGCACACATATGAATACAGATATACATTCCTAGATACACCTACGGAGACATAAAGACACATACACGCCCACACAAACATACACATACCTACATACACAATCACAGACACACCCAACACACATACAAACACAGACACATACCTACATACACAATCACAGACACACACTTAACACACACATGCAAACACACACATTCACACACACACACACACACACATACACACACACACACACACACACACAACCACATTTGTGCCAGATTTTAAGATTCAGACTCACTGTTATAAGAAGTGGACAAAACAAGAAGAAAAGAGGCACAGACTCTAGAAAACGGAAATTTAAATTTGGGTCCTTATTCCTTTAAACTAGGACTTCCCCCTGTAATGACGGTAACCAAATAAAGTTAATGGTTTAGAAGACCCCGTCAGAACTGGTAGGGAAACCATCAGCTCTGATGCCAACGCTGCAAGTATACTGTTACAATAAGGAGAGCATCTCTAGATGACGTAGGTAACTGTAGCCCCTTGAGATATTACAGCACTCCAGTAAGCTGCCTGCCTAAAATTCTGAAAGGAACATAATCACTCACATTTCAGGACTGTATAAATGGCCCTCTCAGCCAGGCTGTGACGTTAAACAGTGTGTGTGTGCGCCAAAGGACTCCTGTTGTAAGCTCTGTGCAGCTAAGGGGGCTGCAGAGGGACTCTGCAGGGTTCAGGTACAAAAATGCCTTCTAAGTTGGAAGCAAAGAGTACAGGCTGTTGGAATTAGTAGGGCAGCCTGTCATAAAACAACTAAGATTACTAAGTTTAGCCTGCCCTACCTGGCAAGCCCTCCCTACCCTCTGCCATTTAACGTAACACAAACTTATAAGGGAATGGAAAGAAAATATTTCTCTTACATCAAAGTTGTGTCTTTCACATTTATAATCTTGCTATCAGATAGCTCCTGACACATTAGCATAACTCCAGCTTTTTGCTTTTGAAAATGTCATCTTGAACTCACAGAAAGCTTTTCAGGAGCAATTTATGCATCTGCAGTGCGTGCTTGGTGACAGCAGTGGATGGGGGGAGAGTGGGTAAAGGGCACGTTAGGGTGGTGCCCTGTGCAACTTTTCTGACAGAGGAAGGGCTCTGAGTCCTTGAGATGCAGCACCAGATACAAGCAGGGAGCCTGGGCCCTACAAAGCTCGTGGTAACGTTACACAACAGGATACGTCGTAGTTTTGCCTTTGACAGCCCTTCTGGGGCTCTATTGCATGGACTAGCATGTGGAAGGATCTTCTCGAACTCAAACAATCAAACAAGTAGCCAGCTCACACAGATCATGGTCAAACAGTAGTGTGGAGACAGACAGTGCATGACCCTCTCCCATCTACTGCTTCCTTCACACTGGCCTTTCAGAGTGGCAAAACAGCTTTAGCCAACCCATACAAGAAAAATTCAAAGCTCAGAAGCATTACGTAATTTGTCCCAAATTACCCAGTTACTTAAAAAAAAAAAAAAAAAATCCATCACAGTGGCTGGAGAGATGGCTCAGCGGTTAAGAGCTCTGGCTGTTCTTGCAGAGGACCCAAGTTTGGTTCCCAGCACCCATGTGGTGGCTCACAATATCCAGAACTTCGGTTCCAGGAGATCTAATTCCCTCTTTTGGCCTATGTGGCACCAGGTGCACATGTGGTACACAGACATAAATGCAGACAAAACGCTCATATACATAAAATAAAAATTAAAAAAAAAAAAATCCATGACAAAAACCCAAATTATTTTCCCCTGGTAGACTAGCTCTCTTAACCAGCCTGCAGTTTTGTTGTTTGTTTTTGGGCATATGTTCACTGGACAGTGATGGGCTTCATGAAGACATTTCCTGTAAGTATCATCCTCATTCTCATCTCTCATCCCACTTCCCACTTGTTCTTTTTCTCTTTCAGAAAAGTCAGAACTTCCTTTCTGCTGCTTCTTACTAATGTCTAGGTTCATTTTCCATCTAGATTCTACTGATGAGAGAACATGGGGTGGGGAGCTAGAGGGACTCAGTGAGACAAACCCTGCTGAGGGGAGCAGCTCTTACTGTCGAATAGATGCTCACTGCCCTCCTTGAGCAAGCAGCTGAGGTTGAGCGGGATGAAGAGCTGGGCCCGCAGGGGATCACCATACAGGTAGCTGGGAAGTGCAAAAGGACCCTCCAAAACCGGGACTAACAAGAAGCCGCAGGAGGTAGCTTTTCGATGCCAACCTTGGACCTGGAAAAAAAGCACAAAAACAGCATCATCTCTAGGTTCTTTTAGACCAGAGAAAGAGCACACCTGCCAGAGTGGCGGCACACGTATGGACTAGCATGTTCACTTATTCATGTTCTCTGGCTCCAACCAGTCCCGGTCAGGAAAAAGCGCAATTATGCTTCTTGATGAATGCTAGAAAAACTGTGAGTTGAGCTGAGCACACAGCTCCTCTTCATGGCCCAAGCTCCTACCTTCAGTTTCTTGATGAGAGAGCTGAGTCCCTTTTTATTCTGTGGAATGTCAGAGGAAGGTCACAAGACAAAGGCTGAATCTTTCTAGTTCTGTTGTGTACTAAGTCCAGTGTATCAAATAAGAAAATAACCCACTCTGGCTGACACAGGCTGGGAGATGACTATAGCAGCTTCTGCAAAGCGACCAGCTCTCAAGTACAGGAGGGCACACTCTGGGGAACTCCCAAAGCTATCTTCCTGAAAGCCAGAGTCTTGTAAGTAACTCCAACAGTCAACACTTCCTTAGAATACTATGTCAGTTTTTTTTGAAATACATTTATAAAAACATAAAACTGAAGGATACTGAAAACAAACAAACAAACAAAAAACCAACTGGTGAGCTGGTGAGATGGCTTAATGTTTTGGTAAAGGCACTTGCCATCAATGCTGCCATCCTAAGTTTTACCTCCCTGGAACCCACAGAGTGGCAGGAGTGTGCTACTGGCATTTAATAGACAGAGGCCAGAATGTTGTTTAACAACCTACAGTGGGTATGATGTCATTTGTAACAGATAATTATCTTGCCCCAAGTCAGTAATGCCAAGGTGAAGAAACACTAGTCTACACTCTGAAGTTTCCTCCATTTAATGTGTTAAGGCTGTCCCAACAGGTCAATAGGTTAGGTGAAGGTGACGGGAACTTCTACAAAGGAACCCCTTGCCTTAAAGTAAGGTGATGGTCTCACCATCTCAAAGAGTACTGTGGCAGTCACCGCCATCCAGTGTAGCTTGATCTCAAAGGCTGCATTGAGAGAGAAGTTTCCGTGGTAGTAACAGCTGCACCACTCTAGCCGGTCCGTTCGGTTGTTCACATCAACATCCAGGGTCACGGTCCTCTGCTCTGGGACAGTGGCAGCTGCGGCAGCACACAGCAAGATGTGGCGACACAGAGTGAGGAAGAGGAGTGAGATAATGTAGAAGAATGAACAATAAACACCATAAATATGAAATTGCACAAGTGCCCAACAGAGGTTCCTATCTCTGGAAATTGCTAGTCAGTAATCTGGGGTCTAGAAAAAACGTATTGTGCTTGCTGTTAGACAATAAATATTTTAGGCTTCACGAGCTGCCTGTGAGCAGCTGTGTACTGTAGGGCAAAAGCCCCATAAACATTACATAAGAGAATGGGTTCAGCTACGTTCCAATAAAATTTTATAAAAATGGATCAACTTTTAGAATAATAGCAACTCGGCATGTTACTATGAGAGGAAACGCACCACTGTAAACTCATACAAACCCACAGAATGCACAATACCAAGAGTAAACTCCTCATATTAGTCATCGATTTTGGTTGCTGACAAGGCATCCATGTAAGTTCATGGATGAACAAATGCCATTCTGGTGGAGGTTGACAATGGAGAGAGGCTGAGTGTGAGAGGAGCAGGAAATCCATGGGGATTCTCTGCTCAATTGTGCTGGAGAGCTGAAATTCCTTTTAAGAAAATTAGTGATTATAGTTACACATGATAGCATTCAGAAGGCCGAGGCAGGAGGAATCAAGTCAGAGGTACTGTTAATCAAACCCTGTCTCAAAAAACAGGGCTGGAGAAATGGCTAAACACTTATGAGTGCTTTGTTACACAACCAGTGAAGTCCAGAATTCAGACCCTAATACCCATATAACAAGACAGGTATCTCCCCCCCTCCCACACACATACTTGCAACCCAGCTATAAAAGAGGCAGAGACAGGAGGATCACTGGGGCTTGCTGGCTTCCAGCCTAGCTGAGAGATCCTGCCTCAAGCACTGAAGAGGCACACAGCAAAACAGCAGGACGCCCAACGTCGTCCTCTTGTGGTCTCCGTGTACGCGCACAAGCACATGTGCGTGCATACACAAATGTAAATCTAAAAAAGGGGGGTCAGTTATAAAACAAACCCTAAGCTATATTTAGTCAATTACGCTGCAGTTTGACTTCCTTCTTTTCTGGGAGGAATGTCATCTTAACCAGGGTCACAGAGTCAGAGACTCAACCAGGCTGTACTCAAGAGCTTGAGAATTCAGTGACCCACAAACAGATAAAAGGAAAAAATAGCCCAGACCACAGTAAGGAGGAAGTATTACTTGTCTGCTTTCAGCCCAGGAAGGTATTAGTTCCACAGTATTTCCTCAGAAGATGAAACTTCGTAATGAAGCCTATCCTATCCCATCTCAGACATGTACGTCAGGGCTCTGACCTCCACGGACACTAACCACACCCAGCACTTAGGTTTTCCGTAAATCAGGATCTGTTCTCACATCCCTAATCCTCATAGGTTTCCTTTCTCTCAGTCAGCTTGCTTCTGGGTTCTGCAGGCAGAAGCTGTGAGTAGCTCCTGAGTCAACAAATTGAATACACTTCTGTTGGAAGGCAGGAAAGCATTTGCTAGGGTATTGAATGACACCCAGCAAACTGACACTCTCTCAATACTATAACATGCAGAATGGGCAGAGTTCTTGATGTGGAACTGGAGGAGCAAAGCTTCTGCAACTCTTGTCGCTGAAAACCTTGCTTGGTGTCTCCTGATTTAATTCCTTGTCTGCAAATTAATATGGCAGCACATCCAAGAAACAGCTGCTCAGAAAGGTTTATAGATGCCCTCACTTGCCTTCTCCTCTGGCCACTTTGCCTCTCTTTCTGTTCCCATTATGCCTTCCTTCTTTATGACATGAGCCTCACTAATGCTCAGAGTGAGGCCTCTCAGTGGCTTGATGGAACACTTACTTGGGGCACATTTGGCACCCTTACTCGTTCACTCTGATACTAAAATATCCATTAAAGCCAGGCTCCATCTTCATGTTCCTACTTTATGACACTCTTAGTAGTCCTTTTCTCAACAGTCCACATCAAAGAAAGCTGTGTTCTCTAGCCTTGCACACCATGGACATATTCCTCCAAGTGAGACAGACTTAGTCACGAAACCAAAGGCAAAGGATAAACACTAGCAGTGACTGTACACATCTCTCTTCTATTATCAACTCTGGTAAGTGCAGAGTAGGTGAATCTAGGGGGCACCCAAGGAAATGTACTATTCAGCCAAGTGATAATTGCTCACCACTGGCATTGTACTTCCAGGGTAAGATCTGACAATGCAGAAGCTTCTAGCAGGCTGTCAGTATGGACAAAGGTACAGCTAGCTATATGGGAAGTCTAATCAATATGCATAAGACCAGAGGAGAAACACACTCAGCATTAGAGGGGGCTGTTAATGCCCTGGAGGGAAGATCAGTATTACCACAGGGAAAAACACTGAGGCTCAGTCCTCACAGCCAGAGCTGCCTCACAGTGGGGCAAGTCTCAACAGGTTGAAGGGAACTTTTCAAAAAGAAGCTAGCTAGCTTCGTCCACGTTCATTAGGGCTGCAACAGTCACTCCTGACTCCAAGATCTACAGACTGTCATGAGAAAACCAAGAAGGCCTGCACTGTGGAAGGCATGTGGTACTGTTTCTTCCAGACTCTCAGATGCCTCTGCGGCATCCCAGCTCAGTGATACAGGACAAGGATGGGGAACTGAGAGTCACCATAGGCCAAACAGGGGTCCATGTATCAACATTAGGCTTTTCAAAAGAGCTTCTGCTCCTACCTCTAAATGAGCATCAGAAGTTTTAAAAAAGAATCAAGCAAACAAAAAGCTATCCCCAAACAACAGTAAACAAACAAACAAAACCTAATAAAATCACAGGCGATAGTGAAACTCAGGTCTTTCTCTTCTGTAAGTCATCTTGGGTTTCTTTTTTTCTGAGCAAAAATGCAAGTGTTGAATTTACGCTTTGTTTATTTATTTAGCAAATAAATAAATTGGCTAGTTTTTTGAGACAGGACCTCATTGTGCAGCACGGGCTGGTCTATCTGGCCAGAAAGAGATTATTCTTTTTGTTGGTAGGTTTTTGTTTGTTTGTTTGTTTGTTTGTTTGTCTTTTTTTTTTTTTTTGAAACAGGGTCTCTTTATGTAGTCCTGGCTATCATTGAATTGAAAGATCCTCCTGCCTCTGCCTCTCAAGTGCTAGGATTAAAAGGTAAATCCACCACACCCAGCTGTAAGATATCTTAATTTAATTTACTCTTGTTTTTACTTAGAAACATTTTTTTTTTCCTTGCTAGGCAAAGTGGTGCATGCCTTTAAACCAGTGGTTCTCAACCTGTATAATGCTGTGACCCTTTACTTTTAGTTCCTCAGATTGTGGTGACCCCAACCATAAATTATTTTCATTGCTACTTCTAACTAATTTTTCTAGCTATGAATCCTAATGTAAACATCTGTGTTTTCTGGTGGTCGTAAGCTATCCTGTAAAGGGCTGTCAACCTCCAAAGGCATGGTGACCCACAGGTTGAGAACTTCTGCTTTAACTCCAGCAGTATAGACCATGTAGACCAGCTACACAGTGAGACCCCATCTCAAACAATTTTCTCGTGGTTCTAAGTAAGGTCTTTTATATGCTAGAGGACTGGTGACTCCAAAGAGAACTTACCTAACAGTGCAGCTGCCTGGCTCCGTCCTCCAAAACTTCGACTAAAGGAGCTGTGCCTGCTTGCATAAGAGGCCGGCCTGCTGGGTAGCCAGGGCAGGAGGAAAGCAGGAATCTCAGAGTGCACAAGCTCTTCTGCCACAAAGGCCACCTCAAACCACTTGCGCTGGAAGCTGGCAAAGTCATCCACTCCTGCTGTGTGCCAGGGGGCAGTGGGCTGCTGCATAGCCACTGGGAAAAAGCAGGGGAAGTGAAGGATCCCTCATCACAATGCGTATTTCTACATGCTACATCACAGACAGACCTTGAGAACATTATGATAAGTGAAAGGAACCAGGTCTAAAGGCCTACATATTACATGACTCCACACATATGACATATTTAGAAACAAAAGCCTACTAGTGCTTGCACAAGGAGTGTTTGGAAAGGGGGGAGTTGGGCAGTGACAGCTAACAAGGAAGAGTAGTGGGTGCACAATACTGTGAACGGCTTTTGTTTCAGGACATAAACTGTTACGGGGTTTGACTTTTCTTTTTCTATACAAGATAATAAGTGACACTATCTTGACAAGAGTGCAGTCAATGGCACCAGCTGTGCCATATGGCACATGGTCCCAGCGGTGAAAAAGTGATTCACCACCAGCAGGGAGTCACTTCCAGCCAGTCTCCATGCCTCTGAAATTCATACGCTATGGAGGCTGGTCTGAGTTTATAGTGCCTTGAGAGCTATGCAAGCCAGAGATATTCCCCACTGAGGAATTCCCTTTTTTCCTTAAAAAGGGGTAGGGCTACAATACTGCCAAGTAGCAGAGTGTTTGCCTAATGTACATAGGCCTGGAGTTCAATCCCAGAACCAAAATAAACAGGCAAATACATATAGTCAGGCCCCTGGATCTCGTTTACATCTACAGACTCAATCACATACATGAAAAGTAGTTTTGGGTGGCAGGAAAGTATTTATACTGAATATAACCAAACTTTTCTTGTTTCCTGAACAATATATACAATATGGTAGTACTTTATAAGTTATTATAAATAATTTGGGGATGATTTAGAGACTATAAGGAAAGGGGCTGCAGGGATGGCTCAGTGGTTAAGGGCACTGGCTGCTCTTGCAGAAAACCTAGGTTCAGTTCCCAGCATCTATACAGTGGCTCACAACTGCCTCAACTCTAGCTCCAAGGGATCCAACATCATCTTTTGGTCTCTGCTGGCACCTGCACACCCACAGGGTATATATATATAAAAAATACACACACACACACACACACACACACAAATAAATCATTAAAAATAATACAAGAGACTGTAAACAGGTTATATGTGAAACCATATTATTTTATAAACATTTGTGATTTTTTTTTTGGTATCTCAGAGCAGATGGGTTCCTTGAACTAATCCTCTGCTGATACCAAAGAATCCCTTTGTTCAAAGCACAGTCGTCTTGGAGGAGGATGTGGGACTTGGAAGCTTAACAAGTAAAAGTACATAGGAGCCCAGCATGTTAGCATCAGAACCAGCTTCGCTGGATGGGGGCGGAGTGGGAGTTAAGGCACCAATATATGACCTGTGGAAAATTTTGAAACAAGGGCCTTGGGCTCTTTTAGGTTTATTTTCTACCAACACTGACCTCAATAAAAACATGTAGCTGAGAAAACAAAACAAAACACTGTCTGGGCTAGAGAGATGACTGTGTGGATAAGAGTGCACGCTGCTCTTGCAGAACACCCCAGTCTGGTTCCCAGCACCCAGATCACATGGCTAATAACTGCCTGTAACCCCAGCCCCAACACCTCCGGCTTCTGTGAGCACCTGAACTCATGCACTTGTTACACATGCTCCCTGCACCCACCTGCATCTCAGGTATACACATATGTGTACACACACACACACACACACACACACACACACACACACACACACACA